TTTTGATTCTACTTAATGACTTCCTTCGACTAATATTGAGTAATTCAACATTGGGATTTTGATATTTACCATGATGAATGCGAAGTGTGATTAATTCCGGTGATAATCGACGTTTCTCGAGCAAATCCGTGCTCGGTTCATGTATAGGACTATCGTCTGTGATCGTTGTTGATCGTTGTTCATCAGGTATTTGTTTGAAACGAAGTCTCGGAATGAAAGATTTAGCAGTTTTGATTCGATGATGATGTTTATAACCCGAACAGAGTGCTAATGCTTGTGTTCTCGCAGCTGCATACACTTGAATATAAACATAAATCATTACGAGTAACGGTAGATAAAACGATACAATCGATATGAATAAAATATAGTATGGATTGTTTGGGAAATCGCATTCTTTGAATACTCCAGCTGTTGTTTCGTTCAACATCATTGATTGTCCTGAAGGAAAGAGAAAAAAAAAGAATAATGCAAAGAAAATGTTATGTTTTACATACGAGTGATGGCTTGTCTCGTTCCGAAATAGAGCACCGGTGGAAATGAAACAATTGCTGAACATATCCAGATCATCGGTATCACACAATACCATTTCTTCGATAAAAATGAATTCGGATATTCCATCGGTTTCGTAATCGCTATATAACGATCTAAACCAATAGTACATAAACCGAATATCGATGCTGCCGACGCGAACACATCCATGGAATGCCAATAATCACAAAGAAATGTAAGATGCCGTCGAAATAGCCAGTATTCATCGTCGGTCATTTCAAATATGAATGCTAATGGCATGACAATTAATCCAACGAGAAAATCAGCAAACGCCAACGATCCGATATAATAATACGTCGATGTATGTAATGTTGACTTGGAAATAATCGCATAGATTATCAATATATTACCTAATACGGTTAATAAACATAACATTAACGAGAAAATCGCCACTGGATATGCTTGCCATTGAATATCAGTGATAGTTACATTCGTTGTTAATGAGAATAACTCCATTTCGAAGGAGATTTCGGTATTTGTATATCTAAAAGGGTAAGTCTTGTGAATTATATACACTTGCACTATCAGTTAATCTTTCTGATCTTGTTTCATTCTAATTAAAAGATGTGAGCCGATTGTTTTGTGTGAAAAGGTTATTTGAAAAGACATGAATTTCTCTGGTATTTCGCCGACGGCATAGAAAAGAAACACGCAAAGGACGTAATACAAAATGAAGAGAATGTCTGATGTATTTTTTTTCTCTTCTTAGTATAGAATAATAAACGGATATTGTGTTATAGTGTTTATTTGTACGGAACGAACAATTGCTGTCAACAGACATACTGATACATACTTTTCTTTTTCCTTTCGATTCTGTCTTGATGAATATGTCGCAGGTCTATTAACTCTACACATATCGTCGACGCGAGCAATCGAGTCTAATGAAAATATTTCAACATTAATCAATATAAGAAGTAATTGACGTGTCCGTGTAACAGAACTAGTGATAAAGGATGATTTCACGAAAAGTTCGTACCCGTTCGCATTGTGTGCATATCATTAAAATACACGAATAAGTTAATCAATGACGATAAAGCGAAAGACGAGATGAAGAAAAACATGTGGTGTTGAATGTCACATGTGAAAGAACGAATACGTATACATTCGAAAGGCATTTTACAGCTACTATGTTTGACGGGAAAAGAAAAGCGCTGGAGCGCGAATCGTTATCACATCGTTGACATAATTACTCTCCGTGCGTCATATCTAGTAAATGTGACTAGCTACCCATTACCTATAATTTTGTGAATATGTTTTTATCATGATATATTTATTCTATGTCTTCACACAAATGATGTTTTTAGAAAAAGAAAGTCAATTCAGTGCAGATGAAACACGTTGAATATTTCTTTCCACATCGATTATGTATTGATGTGTTGAAGGTAATGTTTCGCGATAGATCGCAGCTGCTTTTTTCAAACATGATAAAGCTTTGTCTAGATGACCGGTGTCTTCGTGAACATAGCCGATATTTTCAATGGCCCATGCAATGTTTGGATGATTCGGTGGGAGGGATTTTTGTGAAATCTCCAGTGACTTATTGGCATGTTCAAGCGCTAATTTAGATTTTCCAAGATAACGATAAGCAGTAGCGATGTTGTAATGGGACACTCCTATGTAAGAATGGCCGGAAGGGAGATGTTTCTCACGAATTGATAAAGTCTCTAGGTGATATTCAAGTGCTTTACTATAGTTGTCTAGTCGTTGATAGACGTTGCCAATGTTAGCGAGACATTTAGTCAAATCAATGTGACCATCACCCAAAACGCGTTTGTAAATATCCAGTGCGTTTTGAAATATGTTGAGTGCTTTCCAATATTTACCTCGCTTTCGATAGATGTTGCCGATGCAGTTATAGCTATGCGCTTGGTCGAGCTCATTGCCTTTTCCTAACTGTTCTCGAACCTCTAATGCTCTATGGTGCCAATGTAGACTTGAGTCATAATCACCTTTTTTCGTGAGTACAATGCCAAGTAAGAAACAGCAACGATGTACATCTTCGTGGTCTTTCGGAAGCTCCTTTAGTAAGCGTAGAAAGTAGTGCTCAGCTTCATCCAGCTTGCCCATTTCCATTAGAATAGTACAGAATGGTAAGATGCTTATCTGTCCATCGCCTTCAGCATAATCGTTCTTTAGGTAATCAAAAATCGGTTTGAAACTATGATTATCATCACTGCATAACTCCATAGAAACGATCCATATATTATCATTATCACAGGAAATATTGAGCAGTCGAAAGATGCACCCGATCATCATCAATACTTCTTTTTCTTGAGTAAAGTCACTCAGCCCGGTGATATCTGCAAATGGTTTAATATTAACAAGACGTGGATCGGCATCAATTTGAAAAAGGACTCGTTCAAGCTCGTTTGGCTCGCATAGAAAAGAACGAGCTATTTCACGATCAAGACTTGTGGAAAGAAATGAATTGATTGAGATATAGCCGCCAACAGAATCTTGTAGTACCCCAAGTTCTTCTTTCGACATCAATTGGCCGCGATAGAGACGCACAGGAACAGTACATCGATACTTCTCCAGTTGTTTTCGAAGATCACAGATGATAAATCGAAAGAGAAACAATTGAGAGATGTTTTGCATTCGAAGCGATTTGTTTAATAATCGGTAGAGAAATGAATTTCTTGTATACCACCAGACTGATTTCTTCGAAGAATAGGTTTGTTGGAATTCTTTCAGAATCTTTAGCTGAGCTTTATTGTCTCTGTAGTATTCACTACAGTGGGAGACGAGTTCAGCGATTTCGTCACCAACAGGTTTCATACGAAGAAAACAATCGATAAGTAGCTGAGAATAAATGAATTGCCCATTGAGTCCCGTCATTGATCTTTCATGTCCGAGATCACTTTTGAAAATATTAATTAAAACAGGTTCATCAACTTTACTCTGTTGTTCTTTAGCATAGTGCGATTGAACTTGGTCAACCAATTTATCCAAGTTCGTGATAACACCTTTTATCTAAAAATAACAATGCGACTCACTTCCAAAAAAGCTCAATTATACCTTGGAAAATGCACTGGTCCACTGTTTATGTTTCTTCTTATCGAAGCAATAAACGTAAATAACGGAGAGTTGCCGAAGATGATGAACAGCAGGAACCACTTCACTTCCTAATCTACCGCTTACGATCAGAATGAGTCGATCATGACTAGAGAGTGATCGAATATAACGTTGGCATTTTTCAGCATCATCAAATGTTTTCAACACTAGTCCACCGAGTCATTTAAAATATCCCATCAACGTAATTCTTGATCTTTGAACATAAAAAAACAACAATTGCCGCGACAACTAAATTTAGCAATGAAATGATGTTTATGAAGAAAAATTAGATTCATTGGAATAAGATCATCAGCAATTTAACTAAAGCGCCATGATTTAATATGAAATCAATCGAAAACAAGCTTTCCAAGTACAAATAACGCTCAATGAGATATGTTCGGATAGATGAATATAGTTGTTTTGCCATGCACACGATAGAATCGAATTGAGAGATGATTTTCGCCAGCTATATAAACGCTTTTCTTTTCTGTGGCCTCTATGTTATCTAATATGACGTCAATGAGAAATTCTTGTAAAACCAAGATTTAAACAAAAATCGTATCTTCTTTAATTGCTTGCTTGATTGAAATTCAAGCTTCGTTTCTCTCAAACAGTGCTTATGCAGACGCTGTTTGTACAATTTCATATTATTATAGAAATATTAATACAATCCAATCGAAAGGTTCTATTTGTAGTTTGAATTATGGTCAAATAGTAATCATAAGATGCTACATCAACTTTTGTTTTTCGCTTTATATTCATTTTGTCGTTATTTAACATCAGAATCTAACTCTTTGCCTTCACTTTGCTTCTTCTTCCTGTGAAGTCCAGTACTGATAGATATTGCGTTTGACGTAATACTGTTGCAATAACAGAGAAAGACATCTCAGCTCCAGTACTAATCTTCAGTAACTGTTACATTTAAAAGAGACGAAAAAAATAACTGTTTCGTGCTATTAACCACATTTCATCAAACTTTCATGTTATAATTACTGAAATTGAACAAATTAGAAAAAACTGTTCCTTTATCTTGGCATTTATAGTGTTCTTAAGTGACACATCACATTAGAATATACGTATTTTACATCTACAATAATCTTAATAACATCAAAAAGCATCTATTATGAGTTGTGTAAAAAGTTCGTATTTTGTTAAGAATTTGATAAACATTAGTAGGTTATCCAAAGATATTTATGCTTCACTAGTTTTGTTTTTCCATTATTTCTTACTGGTATATATAATGAAGCTCATTTATAGCTTTTTCAATATATAACCAAACTATTACGTGCAACAGAAGAGACTTTTTACTCGACAAGCGACACATCTAAAAGTATTGAAGATACACTTGAAAGTATCACTACTGATGTAATCGTTTATGATGAAATGTTCCTATTGGTGGCTGGAAATTTTGGATGTATTGGAAATATACTTGTATTTTGTTCCACTCGCTTACAAAATTATGATCGAGAATCTCTTGTTTGGCTACCACTAATGAGTCATCGAGCGATTTTTTACACCAATGTATACGGCTATTGTTAGTCTCAAAGAGGATTGTACAGAACTTTTGACACTTATCTGGATATAGCCATTTCAGGAGTTGGCTCTCCTCTGCTTGTTATTGTATTGGCTGCTCTACTTTGGTGCAGTGTGTTGAATGTAAACAAGCGACATGCAGCTCTTCGAAAGCAAGGAAACGACCAAGATATTGATTCACAAAAAGTTATAATGATGTTCTTTGTATTGTCAGTTCTCGTTGTCATTAACTGTGTACCATTTGGAATTGGTTACCTGCATTTCATGATTACTTTTGACTGGCCGAAATCCTCTTTCTAGAACGCTGCAGGACAGCTATTCTTCGCTTCTGCTCGATTATTTTCGTATGTTTTTGCTATTGAGACTTTCTGTGTGTCAATGGCTTCCAGTCTGCGCCTAAATGAAGAATGACTAATCAATTGAATACGCGACCTACCAACTAGTGATCTTATCCGCTGTTTCCACTCATCGTCAATATGGATGTTATACTGCGAACCCTCCTAAAATTTCTATTGTAGCTCAGAAAGCGTATTCTTGTTCGTTTTAGTGTGGTAACGATGCTTTGTAAGCACCACCATTTTGCTGCTCGTATAAGTGTGAATTATTTCTTTAAAAATACTTATTTTAATAATACTTGAGGGAAATTTACAAGGGAAAAAGAAAAAAAGTGCTTCCAACATCGCCATAGACTTTGAGATTATCTGATAATCAGTTTTAATGCTTTACATCCGAATCCTTGTAATACAATTGTACTTGAATGCCAATCTGATCTATAAACAACTTATACAGGAAAGAAGTACCCCTTACCCTTTCGATCAGAATACTGGTATATGAAAAAGGTATCTAAAGACCAACACTTAGGCACCAATGTGTCTGTATTTGACCTAATTACGAATATTTTCATTTTTCTCTATGATGATTCTACTCTTCCTGTTTCTATGCAAAGCATTTTCCTATTTGACATATCGGATAACAATGTAGATCAACAAAGTAACGGTGAATTTTCTACTTCGCCATCCAAATAGATCAACCTGCATCGTTGGAATGATAAACAAAGTATGGTATTTCAATAAGACTCAGCAGTGGGTAAAAAAATGTCATAAAAATACTTTTTTGCCGGGGAGACCCTAGAAGTTTCTAATCCTGTTTTCTACAATGTATTTCTCACAGAAACTCATTACAAATAAAGCTTTTCTAAAAACAGACGACCTGTCATCGACTACAATGATGAATACTACAACAATCAGCATACCTACTAGTCTTGAGAGTCTACTTACACGTCTGACCATTTATACAACGATCTACGGCGGAATATTCATATTAGCAGCTGGAAATTTAGGTTGTGTGGGCAATATACTCGTCTATCGATCTCAGACCTATCGTCATCAAGCTTGTTTCATTTATCTGTTTTGGGAAACAATAGCTAGTTTATTCATTCTCAATTGCATTCTTTTGACTCGAATACTAGAAACTGGTTTTAACGTTTCACTGATGAATGAGTCGAATGCATTTTGTCGAATTCGAGAGTTTATCTCGATGGTGATGTATCAGAGTGAAAATACACTGTTCCTGTGTGCGACATTAGACAGGATCCTTTCAGCGCAGCGTTCAAAGAGTAAGTAGTATTATGGCTTTTATTCTATATATATATCGATTGTGTTTCCTATCGTTTAGAACTACGACAATGGAGTAATCAGGTGCCTCTTGCCTATAAAATTATAGTGGCAAACTTTGTTCTTTGGATTGCAGTTAGCAGTCATCGATTAGTCTTCTATGGTAATGGCTCTGGCCATTGCGACTCTCAAGAAGGATTTTATGCAGCTTTTGACCATTATCAGGATGTATCTCTTTCAGCGATTGCTTCTCCTCTGCTTGTTATTGTGTTGGCGGTTTTACTACGGTGTACTGTTCGAAGTGTCAATCAGCGACGTGCAACTCTAAAAACTCAAGGAAATCTTCAAGAGACGGATTCACAATTAACGATCATGTTACTGTTGCAATCGATTCTTGCTATTATCAATTATGTGCCGTATGGAGTTTATATTCTCTATTCTATGTTTACAAAGGAATGGGTGAAATCGTCTTGGCGCGTTGCCTGGGAGCAATTGATCATAGCTTTTATTCGATTGAGTTCTTATGTGTTTGCTGCCGGTACTTTCTATGTGTCCATGGTATCGAATCCTAGTTTTCGGAAAGAGTTTTTCAAAATTTTTGGAATACAGAGGGGTAGAATTGCTCTAGTGCACACTAAAGCTGTTGGTAACATTGTAAACATTCGTACTGTTGCTCCATAGTTAAGCTGTTCTTTTTCTTCGTTGTAAATACATCAATTCACTGCTTATTGTGTTCATAGTCATTCGAAACTTTGTAATGATCGATGGTTATTGCGAATAAATCAGAAGTCCACCATTATAACCGTATACAATTTTTGTCTTCTGTTTGTATTTAGTTCATGCTGTTTTTTACAAGAGAACGTGACTCGCTTGCTTCCTTAACGATTTCTCTTTATGATGCTTCACAGTTCTTCCGATTCGTGTGAAAAAAATATTCGCCTATGATGTCACCGGTAATAGTGAATTTTAAGAAAACAATGCTCGGTGTTCTTCTTCGTCATTCAAGAATTCCACTTGCGCAGAAAAGACTCATTTTGATAGATTTTATACGAAAGATGCTTTTTCACTAAAAGTTGTAAATAGATTATTCAGTTAATTAAAAACTTTCTTATTTGATGGGCTTTGCTTATTTCTTTTCCACCTTCAATATTCCAAAAATATATTCTTCATAAAAGTTATTTTGAATCACCCACCCTCGCGGTAGTGCGTGCCATAAGACGCAAAACTCAGTTATTTTTCTTCGCTAAAATGGACAATACTACAACAATCAACACACCTATCAGTCTCCGAAGCACAGCCATAAATTTGACCACTTATACAACGATCTGTGGCGGAATATTCATATTAGTAACTGGAAATTTAGGTTGTGTGGGCAATATACTCGTCTTCCGATCTCAGACCTATCGTCGACAAGCATGTTTCATTTATCTCTTCTGGGAAACAATAGCTAGTTTATTCATTCTCAATTGCATTCTTTTGACACGAATACTAGAAAGCGGCTTTCACAAGTCATTAATGAATGCATCACTTACATTCTGTCGAATTCGAGAATTTATTTCTTTGTTCATGTATCAGAACGAAAATACATTGTTCTTATTCGCAACTCTCGACAAAATCTTGTCAGCACAACGCTCGATCAGTAAGTTCTAATATACCTTCATTCTGTAACAATGGACCGACCATCGCTTTTGATATTTTAGCGCTACGACAATGGAGTAATCAGGTGCCTCTTGCCTATAAAATCATAATCGGAAATACTCTTGTTTGGTTGCTTATGACAGGCCATCGATTGATTTTGTACACCAATGTATATGGATATTGCTGGTCTAAAGAAGGATCCTATAGAACTTTTGATACTTCTCTAGATGTGTCTCTTTCAGCAATTGCTTCTCCTCTGCTTGTTATTGTGTTGGCGGTTTTACTACGGTGTACTGTTCGAAGCGTCAATCAGCGACGTGCAACTCTAAAAACTCAAGGAAATCTTCAAGAGACGGATTCACAATTAACGATCATGTTACTGTTGCAATCGATTCTTGCTATTATCAATTATGTGCCGTATGGAGTTTATATTCTCTATTCTATGTTTACAAAGGAATGGGTGAAATCGTCTTGGCGCGTTGCCTGGGAACAATTGATCATAGCTTTTATTCGATTGAGTTCTTATGTGTTTGCTGCCGGTACTTTCTATGTGTCCATGGTATCGAATCCTAGTTTTCGGAAAGAGTTTCTCAAGATCGTTCGAGTACAAAAAGGCAAAATTCATCCAATATTCATTAAATCATAGACAAGTATCTAAACACTGTTACTGTGAAAACATAATCTTAACTATCTTTATCTTTCTCAGTAATTATAAAAAATATGCTTTCTACTCTATTCGTAGTAAATTCTTCAGAAAATGATTTAGCCGTTCTTTTCTGGAGGAAAAGTGATGAAATGGTGTTGACAAGTGTTTACAGTTAAATTCATGTGATACAATTCATACTAAAGGGCAATTTAAACACAATGTACCCGTGTGCGATTCAATTAGAGATATTTCCGCTTTTCTCAATGACACTTCTACTCTTCCAATTTCTTCAAAGTCCATTTTTGCGTCCATCATTTAAGAGGTTCTACTTGTTGAATAGTACATGAAGAATTATCTTCCACTTAGGCTTCAAAGCGGATCAGAAAATCAATTAAAAAGCTTGCTTCGTCTAACAGATTCTGGAAATTTCTAATTGTGCTTTCTATGGGGCGTTCCTCGCAACAAAACCCATCACGACTAAAGTCTTCTGCATAGAAGCACTTAAGCTATTGCAAAAATAAACGACCCCTTATCGCCTACGATGATGAATATCAAAACAACAGCCAACACGTCTTTGAGTCTCGTTTGTTAGCTGTGAATACAATCGATAGGATCTTCTTTTCGTGAACTACAGTATGCTTGGTCAGTCTTCGTAAATCAAACAAATCTGAAACCACTGCCACTACAATCACATCCACGATGACAGCAACAGCAACAACAACCTCTGAGAGATTTTGTGAGTTATTCTTATATCGGAATACTGACGTTATTGTTTAACCTTTAGCATGGCGTAATACTGGTAATATGACACAAGCACGATATCTTCATGCAGCTTCGGTATTAAACAACGGGAAAGTATTAGTCGCTGCTGGATATACTGGATAATTTTATCTAGACAATGCTGAAATTTATGAACCATCAACGGGCATGTATGGAAGCTGTACGAGAAGTTTATACATTATCTGCACTGGCCGACGGTAGAATATTGGTTTTAGGTGAAATTGCCCGCGATGGCTATACCGATTCAGTGTAATTATATGATCCATCAATAGGTAATGGGACAACTATCTAAAGTATGCAAGAACGACGTGCTGAACATACAGCAACCCTATTGTAAAATGGAAAACCATTAGTTACTGGTGGATATAATGGCGCTTCTGCACTCCACAATGTTGAGTTATATAATCCATCTACAGAAACTTGGACATCGACTGAAAATATGAATTATTTTCGAAGTGATCATACAGTATCACTTTTACCCAATGGAAAAGTTTTAGTAACTGGTGGCTATAGTCCTACCATTTTAAGCTCTGCAGACAAAAGATATTTTTTGATCAAGACGGTATATCTTAGCTGGACAAAACCAGCTATATTTCCATTCGATTTGAAAGATGATCATATTTGTGAGTGAAGATGTGAATAGACAAGATTATTTAAACGACTGTTAAGACGAAGAAAAGCACGAGCAATATCATCAATATGTATATATGAACATGTATCTGATCATACTTCAGCAAGAAGCATTTCAATACATGAGTCAACCATGGCACCGCTCATAGTTGAATTGAAAGATATCGAATGTATTTTACCGTTGTGGGAAGTGAATCAACCAGGATAACAACTGTAAAAATGTTCACGTGCAAAACCATATTACACATACAGTGGCTGTCAAAATTGTGCGACCACTTAGCAAAAAAGTTTTATTTGTTTTATATCTTAGAGATGAAAAGAGCTAAAGACTTACAACTTGTATCGTGTCATAATATATCATCCCTAGTACGTTCACAGTTTATCTTAGGTTCAAGTTTCGTATTGTTCTATTTTTATTAAAACAAGAAAATAAGGTATACAATTTTTCATACGTCAAAATTGTGCGACCAGTTCACCAAAAACAACTTTTCGATACAAGTAAACATTTGTTTCAAGTCAACTAGTATTTAGTAGGGTACCCTTTCAAACGAATAACTTCATTTAATCGATTTGGAACAGAATCAACTAACTTTTTCAACACCGTGACTTCAAGTCCATTCCATACTCGAGTGAGACATTCTTTCAAGTCTTTTTCGTTCTTAGGCTGCTCGTTTTTCATGCGTCGTTCGATTTCATCCCACAGATGCTCTATGGGATTTAAGTCCGGAGATGACGAAGGCCATTTGAGTTGTTCAACACCCTTTCTTGTCAACCAATTTGTCACAATAGCAGCTTTATGCTTGGGGTCGTTATCTTGTTGAAACATCCATTGATTATCTAATCCCAATTTCCTAACAGATTGAAGTAAATTTTTGTCTAGGATGTCACGATACATCTCGCCAGTCATATTCCCATCGATAAATACCAGATTTCCAACTCCACATGACGAAAAGCAACCCCAACACTTTACATTTCCACCTCCATGTTTAACAGTCGGTACCATACATTTTGGATCAAGTTCTTCTTTCGTTGTCCGCCATACCATAACTTTCCCATCCGATCCGAACAAGTTAAACTTGCTTTCATCTGACCAAATAACATTATCCCAATAGCCAAGAGGTTGTTCACGATATGTACGAGCATATTCTAAACGTTTGCCACGATTGACCTTATTGACGTATGGCTTTTTTCGAGCGACACGACCATGTAGGCCAATCTCGTGCAATCGACGACGAATTGTTGATTCAGAAATAGCAATATTAAGACTAGTTTTAAGTTCAGCTTTCACAGACGCAGCCGATTTCCGTCGATCAGTTTTGATTTTACGCTGAATAAGGCGGTCAGTCTGAGGTGTCGTCTTTCGTTTTCGGCCTCGGCCGATTAAATTTCCGATACATTTTGTTGATTTGTACTTCGCTATTATCCGATGAATAGAAGTACGTGGCATAAATGTTTTCGTAACTATATCACGCTCAGAATCACCATTTAAATAATGTTTTATAACAGTTTCGCGTTTATCGTATGAGTATTCCTTCTGGTTCTTGGGAGTCATCGTTGGAAATGATCTCTTGACGACGTACTCCGCCGAATCAAACAAACCACACAGTGAATAGATATATAGATGGCGTTAGCATCCGATTGGATAGTAATCAATTACTGCTACTTCCTTTTTCCTATTAAACTGACGAGAATTCGTAAGTGGTCGCACAATTTTGACGTATGAAAAATTGTATACCTTATTTTCTTGTTTTAATAAAAATAGAACAATACGAAACTTGAACCTAAGATAAACTGTGAA